TGTTTCATTTGTTCATTTATTTTGCTCTTTAGATTCCACATAAGTCTCATATATTCTTGACCATAAATATCTGCTAGGCAGAAAAAAGGCAGTTCATATTGGTAGCTGATCATCTCCTACAACGGTATAACGTAGTCTCCTGTGATTAACTGAAATACACTCAGTCAACAGCAGATAACTTGCCACTCATCAAATTACAATGGCATAATAAGGTCAGCTGCTCCCAGACCCACCTTAAAACCCTTTGAAGCAGCGATATGGGCAGCGGTCCAGCCTTCTCTGTCGGCCTGGTTAATGAGGTCTGCAGGAACAACAGGCTCAGCTGTGCCTTCAGGGCTCTCTTCTTCTCCTTCCAAGTCACAGACGCCCGACTCAGGCTCTTCTTCATGCAAAGAGTTTCCACGAGCTGGTGCTCTATGGTACATGAGAAGCTTGAGGCTGTCCACATCACCAGTGTTCACAGCTGCGTGCACTGGTGACCAGCCATCCTGAAAATAAAATGACCGGGGGAACAGTTGATTGCAACATTAATACTGAGAACAGCACTACTTAAAATTCACCTCTACATGTGCTTGAGCATGGACCACTGAGCTGGGGAAAGTAGGCATTCCAATCCTGATTATCACTGAGGAGCTAGGTCAAGTTCTCTGACCTCCATCAATTGGTGTATTTCCCATTGCTCTGACTCATGTTCGCTAGTCTGTAAAATTTCTACCTAATAGTTATCCATTTGGAGAGAGCAGGAATTGGCCAGGTCAGTAATTAAGCATTACCTATGTATGGAAAACCAAAATCTGAATTTAGTGCTACAAAAGAGAATGAACTTCAGCATAAAGAAATTTTTTTTAAATGTGTTATTAGTAATATACTAAATGAATGCCATTATAAGCCAGTTTTACTTCTGGTGCTCTTAAAATTTTATGCTAATGATTCTGTTACCTGCCAAGAGAGTGTCCCCCCCCCTCACCCCACCCCAAGGACTTTTAAATTTTCTTCCTATAGAAATGTTAAGTTTCCTCCCTAGTTTCTTAGCCCCTGGCTTTGATTACTCTTCTCATCAGTCTGTGAATCCTAGGCTAAAGATTGCTCTTAGCCTGAATCATAGAAGTCTCCTATCCCCCTGCTTCTTGATTGTTTTGTAAATCAGTTTCTGAATCCTAAACAATAGAAGTCTCCTACCCCTGCTTCAGATAACTACTTGAAAGCCTGTGACTTCCTAATATCCCCAGTCCAGTAAACTAAATGCCAAACCCATTCTGGGCCCAGACAACTGAGGCCACTGTGAGTAACAGGCTGAATGGCCATAGGCTTCATGAGAGCTAACAGATTTATTAATTAAAATCTATTTTTCCTCATTCAGGGACCTTGGGGATACAGAGGATACCCCAACAAGATTGCCAGTCACAACCAAAGAAGTAAACAGGGTCTTCCAGGCAGAGCTCGAGACCCCTTCCTCTCATCTGAGATCAGCTAGGGCGAGAGTTCCGTGAATCCCCCAATAGGCAGGGACAGCTCTCTGCCTCTGCCCAGCAGGAGGCAGATACGGAAGAGACCTCCTGTCCCTCAACTTCCCATAGAGATTTAAATGGGGATCACGTCTCTCAAGGGGAAGACTAGGTAGGCAGTTAGAGGCAGGCATTGAGTCTCTGCATTCCTGCATGTCCCACAGAGTTGCAACCACCAAGGGGACATTCCCTCTCCACCCAAAAGTCCCCTTTGTATTGTAATTACCTACCCCTGTGGGAAAACAAATGGGCACAAAATACCCAAGTAGATCAGACCAGTCACTCACACCTGCACAGTACCGCTTGTCAATCACAGGTGCCAATCAAGTGGTCCCACGCCCTTAGGGGAACAGCCCATTCTAGAGAAGGGATAAAAACCCCAAGTCCTGGGAAGTCCATCCCCTTTTTCCCTTTTTGGACGCCCTGCTCTTTTGACCACTTCTTGCTTTTTGAGCCCTTTGAGCCTCGCCTTTGCGCATAGCCTGCTTCAAACTCTTTGGAATGAATGTAATTTCTCTTCTAATAATGGGCCCTTGAGCCATTCTCTACTGCTTGGTCCTACTTCTACTCTTTGAAATATACTATCTCTTTGAATAAACTACTTTTCCAGTACTTTACTCTAGTATCTCGTACAATTTTTTGCTCGAGTTGCCAAGGACCTGGATTTTGCGCCGAGAAGGGCCCACTTTCTGACAACAATTCCCGAAGAAAAGATTCTAGATAATAGGGGAAGGGTAGACACACAAGAAAAACAAAGCCAAATTACTTCATGGAATGCCCAAGGGCTCTGCTGTGGCCTGTGATTGCAGTGGGATACTGGTATGCGCAAGCTTAGAAAATGTTCCAGCTAAAACGCCTGGGCCTGTTCTCTAGAATGTTGTCACTCTGAAGCCTCAGTCACCCACTTAGTGGGGTGCCAGAGCCGACTCAATGCTTTTCTAGGGCAGTGGTTCTGGGGGTGGTCACCAGACCAGCAGCAGCGTTGCCTGGGAACGTGTTACACGTGCACATGTCAGGCCTCCCTCCAGACCTGCTGAATGGGAAACTGCATGGGTGGGGCCAGGGATCCGTTTCTACAAGCCCTTCAGGTCATTCTGATGCACTCAAGTTTGTCATGCACTATTCTAGGAACGATCTTGGTTCCCTCTAGAGTCTCACATTTGTTACACAGGATGGATCTGCCTTCTATTCAGGTACCTGTCTTCATTAGGTTTCTAAGACTTTCATAAACGAACTGAGCATTATTTTGGTGATTTGTGTTTTGGCTTTATATTATTTTCCTATCTTTGTTTTCCCCTTTGGCATGTTTTTTTCATGTGGTTATTTCATATTGCTATTCTAAATACATTTCAGTGAGCTTCAACACACTGTTTTGTTTTTTTTTAATAATGGGATAAAAGACCGGGAAAAAACTATAGACAATAAACGGTAACAAAGTACATTTAGACTGAGTTGTCTCATCATTTGCTAAAGCTGTCCTTTGATGATTCAGCTTTCTCTCTGGTTCTGGTCTTCTTACTGAAGAAGTCAACTTGGCTAAGCCACGGCTAGACAGTAACTGAAATACCATGTTGTCTGGGTGGGCTCCAGCCAGGGAGATCTGTTCATGGCTTGTTTATTGTTAGGCTGTGGACACCTTTACCTGTGTATCAGTTCTACCAGACACCACAGTATAAGTGCTCTCAACCTTCCCTAATTTCCATTACAGAGGTCATGCAGACTTTCCTGAAAAAAACTTTTTTTTTTAAGATATTATTGGGGAATTGGGGAACGGGAACAGTGTTGGGGGATTGGGGAAGGGGAACAGCCAAGTTGTTGTCCTTCGATCTTAGTTGCAGGTGGGCAGAGCCCACCATCCCATGCTGGAGTCAAACCATCAACCTTGTTGTTAGGAGCATGTGCACTCACCAGCTGAGCCCTCCTGCCACCTGTTGGCAGCTCACTGGCAGCTTGGTTCGGGTGCAGCGTCACTGACCCATGTGGGAATCGAACCGGTGACCCTGTTGCTCAGAGCTCATGCTCTTAACCAACTGAGCCACTCAGCCGGCCCCTGAAAAAAATCTTTCAATCTTCCATTCTCCTCATTAAAAGTCACAAGAAAAAACATTCCCTTAAAATCTTCTGTCAGTCATACTGTTTACCTCTGTATTGCTAACAATTTTGTTTAGCTCATCAACAACTAGCTTGAGATCATGGAGGTCTGCTCTCCAATTCACAGGACTAATTGTCATTCATCTTGGTAACTGCAAGTTATTTTTCACATGTAAGGTCGAATTTCATAACTTCCTAATGAAATCTGTGTGACACCACAGATTTCTTAGATAAAATATAACATGAATATAAAATATAAAATAACATGAATAAATATAACACTGGACTATTTTTCACAGATTTTCAAAAAAATAAAAAAGAGATTTTCTTTTTTTTCTTTTTTTTTATAGCTCCAGCGATAGGGCTCAGTGGAAAATGCTTGTACCTAGTTTATATTATTTCCTTGGTTATACCGTTAATTGTTGGTTCTCCTTTGAGAAATTATGTAGGAAAACCCAGGATCTAATTAAAGGTGTTTCCCGTGAAGTGGATGCACAGTATAGTCAATTCTCTGTTAACAGAAGAGATCCAAAGTAGAGATAACCTTCAGAAATTAAAATGTTCACTTGTCTTTCATCAGGAATACCCTGCAGGGTGGTGGTTGTTACAACTTGAACATTCCTGGGAACTGCAAGAACAAAACTAAAACAATGCTGGAGCCCAGTGAAGAGTGGCTCGTGGTAGAAGCCCCTGAACTCCTCCAGCCCTTAAATGAGCCCGTGTCAGTGCACAGAAGGGTGATTTCTTGTCCTCAGATGCATTACAATAGGTTGAAGAGAAGCAACTTCGGGGGGATTCACTGGGAAGTTTATTTCAAGTGCATTTTCATGTGGCTGAGCTACAAGCATTACCCAAGGATTTTGTCAGTTTCTCAGTCCCTGACTTCACCTGTGCAGCTTGTATAGGAAATATCAGAGTTGTGCGGGGAGATATCAACCCTCACATCAGCGTGTCAGGTTCCACAGTGGATTTCCACATACAGTGTTTCAAGTTCTCAGGCAAATCAGACAGTGATCCTGAACTCTGTGAGGCGCTGCACAATCAGCGCCATCCGAGTGCTGACAATGAGCACCATCTCACCTCCAAACTCCTTTTCGTTCACACGTTATGGCTCAGAACCACGATTGATGATGACAACACTGATGGCTACAATGACAGACAACATCTATGGACCGCTTACAATTCCCAGGCACTGTATTGACTGCCTTTTACAGATAGGCTCATTTCTTAATACTCCTAATAATGGCTCCTACGAGTATTATTAGCCACATTTTGTACAGGGGTCAACCAAGGCACAGAGAGGCAAGATAATTTGCCCAAGGTCACACAGCATTGTGAAGGCAAGGTTCAAACCACAGATCTGATTTCAGAGCCTGAGCTCTCAGCCATTACACAATACTTTTCTTTCTTTCGTCACTGCCACTGCTGCCAGCTTCTACTTCTATAGTCTATAAATAATGTGATGCACCTTGAAAATACATCTAGAATTGGACCATTCCTCACTCCACCTCTCAACCTTAATTTAACCCAAACTGTGACTTCCTCCCTGGATTAAAACAACAGATTCCGGACAGGCCTTCTTAACACCTGTTCACCCCCACCTACAGTTTGTTCTTACCCCTTCAGCCAGAGTGATTCTTGTAAAAATGAGTTAGTTCATATTCCTGTTCTGTTCACAACCATCCAAAGGCATCCCATGTCACCCCAGGTCCTCACCATGGCCCCCAGGTCCCTCACGGCTGGCCTCCATGACCGCACACATGGCTTCAGCCACACTGGCCCCTGAGGGGCAGCGGGTGCCACCATGGTCCTGCCTGTGGCTCCTACATTTATTTGCCTGGCACACAGCTCTCCTGGCCTCTTCAGAGCCCGCGCCCTCACTGCCTGCAGGTGTGGGCTCAACCATCACATTTTCACTGAAGACTTTTGTGACCAGCATTTATAAAGTAATCCCCGCCCCAGGTACTCCCATCTCCTAAACATCCAGCTCTTAACTGTTCACTTGGTTGTTCGTTGGCCTCCCTCTCTGATAATGGGACTTAAGACCCATGAGGCTGGGGACTATTTCATTTGCTGCTGTCTCTCCAATCCCTGGAACGGCTGGTGCTCAGAAAATATTTGGTGAATGAATAAAAACTTATACCTCCATTATCTCCCCTAATTCTGAGAGAGTCAAGTCATAGGTATTCATTTTCCTGTTTTACAGATGGATAATCTGAAGTTATAAGGATCAAGGACTGGTTACCCTGACAGACAAGGTTTTTAGTTAGCAGAGCCTCAGACAGACAACGGACACTGTCCTTAGCCAATAGCCTAAGAAACAAAACAAGAAAAAAGCAACCGTTATACGTTAATGTTTTGTTTTGTTTTGTTTCCTAGCTGTAGGGTTTATAGACACACTGCAAGTAATAGGACAAACCCCAAAATCTGGTACTCACACTGGTTTTTACGCTTCGGTCACTTCCAGCTTCCAACAAGAGCTTAATACATTCTTTATTTCCATTTTTACAGGCCAGGTATAGAGGTGTCTGTCCTCCATCAGCAGCATGATTAATGTCAGCATCATACGCAATTAATAGTTCTACACACCTAAACACAAGATTATGATTAATGACACAAAAACTGGGTTTGATTTCTGAAGTACCACCTGACCAAGATATTCAATACAGAAAACAATGCTAAAGCAATTCTGCATCTTTATATACATCATACACACACTCACACAGGGTGCCAAAAAACTGTATACACATTTTAAGAACGGAAATAACTATTAAAATTGTAATAATATATATCAATGACAAAAGATAAATACAAGTCACATTTGATTTCTGCAATTACAAGAGATGCTCAAAGGGGCTACCATCAGCGTCCAGACACTTGATTACGGTGAACTACTGCTTGAGCAATGTTGACCAAAGTGTCCACTTGTATACATTTTTTGGCACCCCCAGTATGTGTGTGTGTATGTATGTGTGTGTGTGTGTGTGTGTGTGTGTGTGTGAGTGTGTGTGTGTGTGTATGTGTAATTGTGGGTCTTATTATATGGGTACTGTTTTTTAACAAGGCTAGAAGATATATTTTAATCACAAATTTAGTTATTCCCATGAAAAATTTAAAACAGCAACCTTGATCAAGGGCTAAAATTTGGTTTATGACACTTTCTGTAACCAACTTGTAACAGTGGAGTCCTTGCAATATGTTCAAGTTATTGGAATGAATGATTTAACTGTGCTTGACATATATTATTTTTGGTTCAAAATAGTTTGAACTTTGAAAAAAATCAGGCTGTTGAGTCATTCTGGGATTTTTCACTTGAAAAAATAATTATAAATAGCGCAAACAGCAGAGCACCGTGCGCCCCCACTATAAGGCAACGGGAGACAGAGAAAAGGGCTGCTGTGGGGAGAAGAGACAGCAGAGACTGTCCTGTCTCCTGAAAGGGTGTTCGTTTCCCAGGAAGAAGACACAGCTAAGCAGAAACTCTTTGCCCTGAGAATCAAGATGGTAAGAAATAAAGTAAATTCCAGATGCAGTGGCACTCAGGAACCAGCTGAACAGCAAGCGCTTGAGTTTGTAAACTTAAGTGAGAACAAATGTAGAACAGAGAATTAAATCATAATCAAATTTAGAAGCAATTCACACCATTTTCACTGTTTTATGTTGGGTGCATGTCTCCACTTGGCTTTCCTTGGCAACATTTGGTTTGTTTATATATACTTTAAAAATAAGTTACATATTGATATATGCTTGCACATCATACACATTTAAATTAATCAACCCAGTGTTCTTCCCTTTTGACAGTTACCCATGCCTCCATTCCCATGACTGTTATACTGTTCAAGCGAATGGCCCTACCGATTGCTGGGTGACAGGAAAGGTAAAAGGTGAAGCCCAGAAGAAAAAGATCCCTCTTGGAGGACTCAGGACACATGATAAATGGAATAGCAACACCAGTTACCTATGGCCCTCAATAAGCTCAGGGTGATGACATGCAGAAATAAATAAATAATGCTATACTTAAAGGAGGCATTTTGAATTTTTAAAAATTTCCATGTATAATTAATAGCATTAGTGTGAACCTTAAAACCCACATTTCAAAAAGTCTGAAATTTCTTAAACAATGTTTCTATTAGGATATTTATAGATAAAAAGTTGAAAATGGCTCACAATGCCCACAGCCTGATGCACAGGCAGAGAAAGCGACTTAGCTACATTCTATCTTACTGAAATGTGACTGCATTTTACAGTCATTCACTAGGTTCAACTACCTTAGTAAGCTACTGAAGAAAGCATTGCTAAAGTGATGTCTATTTTAACTGATAGGCTCTTTTGATTTTGTGCTCTAATTTCAATATGTAAAGCTTCTCCTTTAATTTTTTTAAATGATAAAACACAGGTGAATCACTGGGATATAATACTGAATAAATTGCCATCAGAAAGTTTAGATTGGTACAAATAATATAATTCAATGCCTCACTTTTAATGCCATCTTAAGTAAAAAAAAGCTTCTTTGTGTCGGAGTGGTGGAAAATAGTGAACATCAAAGTCTAAAAGTTCCTTACATCACCACATATATTTTGATATACTATCAATAGATTATCTTCTTCAGAATCAAGTTCATTCACATGAAGTTTGGACACTGCATATTTCTCTTCTTTTTGTCCTTCACATGCAACTCTTTACCAATTATTAAGAACAAAGTTAAGATCCTACTTTGTGTTAAAATCCTCAAAAATATTTAGTGAATTTATTTGCCAATGGATTTTAAGCACGAGTTTACACATTCAGTTAGAACTGAAATATGTGTACAAAATATAAAGAGGCTCTTTTCATACAGGAAAAACAAAATGAACAAAAATAAAACCAAATTAAGAACATCACTTACTTGAAATGTCCCTGAGCAGCTGCAGCACACAAGGGTGTGAAGCCATTTTTATCAGCAACATCAGCTTGGGCTTCTGCGTTCAGCAGCAATCTCACACAGTCTATGGATTTTAAAAGGAAGCCATTTTAATTCTCCATTTAGAGTTATGTATGATAAGCCAAATGCTAAGCAAGCTGTGGACAGATACTAAACCCAAAGGACCTCTCCCATGCAGAGTTCACCTGACAATTTTATCACGGTGAATGTGAGACTCCAGACTATTTTACAGGGAAAGCAGTCTCTTTTCCTGAAGACTGCAATACCCCAGACAGACTCACCAACTAAGACGTGTGTTTTTGGGTGCTTTGGGAACAGTTGCTGAGTGAAAGAATCATCAGGTGTCAGAAAATGCCTTACCAGATTTTTCTTCCAGACTATCCCAGAAAATATTACTGGATGGGCAACCAAATCCATTTACCAAACTGAAATACCATTCTTTATGTTTAAGTAGTTAAAATTTTACCTTATTTTATTTAATCTTTAAAATGGTTTTGTGTAGTGATCATCCTGTACTTAACTCCATGAATAAGGGTAAAGGAGAACTCATAGAAAGTCACCTGACTCAGGCAACTAGACTTATCACCTAGGCTTCACGTTATTTAATTTTTCTATATTAAAGAAAATTCCCATAGTGCTTTTGAGGTTAAAAAAAAAAGAATTCCAAACTACTTTTAAAATAACGAGCAATCAATCTTCTTAGTGCACAAGCATCTTCCATTTAGTCCGCTTGAACACAGGAAAGATCTGAAGACTTCCAAGGAAGCCACACTATCTGAATTAATCGACAGTCATACGGCTTCCATATGGAATGCTATTTGACTTTACATTTCGAGTCAAATCATCTCTTTTTCTTCACTACCTTATGTTTTAGTATATTTGACTACAGGATTTGCATTTTAAGAACAAAAATAATTCCCGGCCTTCAACAGTATGTCGTTTATAGTTGTACAACTTCTTAGTTCTTTTTAAAAATCCAAATAACTATAAATTGTTCCAACTGCAGAACAATTTCAGACCCGTGACCTTTCCTAAGTACTGAAACTTTCCCTCGGAGTCCAGATGCTCCGACTTTCACACACAACAGGCATTTCTAACGGACAAATTAGGGCTATTTTGTCCTTACCAAAGTGATCACAGACAAATGGCTTTATTCTAAAATGTGCTTGACAGTTATTAGACCTAAAATTTCTACTTACACAATACATTTCACTGTGCATAAAACAAAGATTCCTTTTTGCTAGCTGCCATCAACTTTTACATGATTACAGAACTATACAATTTGGACTTTAAAAATGTTTACAAAATCTTTAAGTTATATTTAAGAATTATCTACTACTACATGTGACAGTTGAAACCCAGATGAGCCTTTTTCTCATGACAATGGTTAGAAGTGCTTTTGACTCTCTATTCTTTTGCAAGTGCATAGTATAATGAGCGGAGATCACCACCATGTTTACCTGTATGTCCATTCTTAGCAGCAGAATACAAGGCAGAACGGCCATCTTCACAGGAGTAATTAATGTCCAGTCCTTCTTCGTTAAGCAGCATTGATAATAAAGTGACGTTTCCCTGGGCAGCAGCTTGCTGAAGAAGGGTGGGCCTGCCAGCCAGGGGGGCAGGACCACCACTTGTTAGCAAAGGGGTTAGGGAGGGTGACCAGCCTGTGGGTTAAAGTGACCCTAGTTAGACAGGAGGAGCAAGGACACGTGACAGACATTACCCACTCCTTTCTGAATCACACACAGACATACAAACACGTATTCCTAGAAGATTATGTGGTTTCTGACATCAATCTGTTAATATTTACTTAGCACAAATCTGTACTGTTACTTCAATCTTATATGTGCTAATCAATATACATGGTAACAAATTATTTTTAGTTGTCAGTCTTGCACAGGTAAGGGTTATGGGGGAATTGGTTTTTGGAAATTAAGATGGCTGTCTCCTTTTAAAAATTAAAATTCCTCTTCAGAGTTTCAAAGCAATTTGAATTTTAAAATTAGGTATAGATTTCCTAAATTTCAATACCAATCTGAAAACGTGAACTGATATCTTTAGGTATAAGATAGAAATAATTGTAACAATAGAGATTTTCCTTTTTTGACAATGTATCCAAGGTACTTAATTATAAATTTTACATAAACCATTAAGATGGACCAAATACTGTCAAGGAATTTGCTTACATTCCTTGAATTCCCTTATTTGGGAATAAAAATAATGGGGGGGAGGAGACCAACTACTATTCAGTATCGAGAGCTAATAGAAGCACAACATATATAATTGGATCTAAAATGCACCAGCACAAATAATCGATACACAATTTTCTATCATCTGGCCATCTCTACAACATGTGTTCCAGGAACTTTTAATCAGACAACAAAACAGGACATGCTACATATAGTTTTAACAAAAGTCATAAGAGTTATCATAGTTAGATATTTCTCATCAGTATTTAGCAGCTTTAGAAGAGAATCTGTTAAGTGTGTGAAGTCGGCTGCATATAGCATGGAAAATTTTCTGAATTCTTTCTTGATCAAAAAGCTGTAAAAACAGTAAAGTAAAAATGTTTATTTAATGTGACATTTGTGTATTTTAGGTTTAAATACAATTAACTATTAAAATACGTCACTGTGTTTTCTTCCTCATGGAACCCCAAATCCCTAAGCAATTCTGGTATGCATATGGGGACATATGGGGACACATGTGTCACTCCTCAGGGTCACTTTCTACAGACATCTGGGAATATTCCCTGTAGTAAAACACAATAGATGGATCTTTCATATTCTCTGAACATTGGCATCAGGATAATATTCTAGGTATATGGGTATTACATTAGTATGTATGCAATATTCAATTCTTATATTGAATCTTAAATTATTGGCCTTTAATTATTTTAATAAATAATAAAAGGGTACATATCTAAGGATTTCTCAGTATTTTTAAAATTCTTTGTAAAAAGACAAAACAAAGCAGTTCATACAAATGAAACTAGAGCTGCTAACTAAAAGCTGGGTATTACATCTTCATAACCTATGTATTTGGGTCCAGGAATAATTAATTGCTTTTACAGTAGTAGACTGCGATGACATACAAAACTCAAATGGTCGTAAAATTAAATATTTATCTAAACTTCATGATATTTTTTCCATTGATATTCATTAGCTCTTCTTACAAAAGTAGTATTTTTACTTCATACTTACAAAGAAGGCTCTTCTCTGGTATATTTTACCTTTTGTATTTTCTTAAAAACAAATAAAAAACAAGCCCACAAAAATTAAATCAATACTTATTAGAATTGAATGATACACAGAGAAATTCTAAACACTAAGGTATGAAACCTTGACTACAGGGCAAACACAAAGGTATTATATAAAGGCATGGCACTGTGGTCTCTGGGGTGGTAGGGAGAGTGGCTCACGCTCAGTCAATTTCCTTCTCTTTCTACTCCTTTCCTTTTTCCTGTCCTTCTTCCTTTCCCCTAACCTCCCATCTTTCTTTCCTCCTTTCTCTCCTTCTGCCCTCTCTCCCTCCCTTCCTTCCTTCCTTCTTTCCTTCTTCCCCTTCCCTCCCTTCCTTTCTCTCTCTTTCCCTCCCTCCCTCCCATCTCCCTCTATCTCTCTCTTTCTCTCTATCTCATCCAAGGGCTCTTGGTTATTGATATCCCTTTTTTTTTTAAGATTTTATTGGGGAACTGGGGGGAGGGGAACAGTGTTGGGGAATCGGGGAAGGGGAACAGACAAGTTGCTGTTCTTTTGTTCTTCAGTCTAGTTGTGGAGGACGTCGCTTCACTGGCCCATGTTGGTATGATCATTGCGCTCTTCCCAGGTGAGGCAATCGGTTGCCGGTCATTGGTCGGCCACTTACAGCGGCTCTTGGCAGCTCACCTGGCTGCCAGCCACTCATGTAACTCACGGCAGCTCACTTCAGCCCTACTGCAGCCTACGCCGTCACCGGCAACTCACAGCAGCCCAGCTCCAGATCGAGCTGTTGTTCATCACCTTAGCTGTAGAGGGCGAGCATCACTGGCCTTCAATGTGGGATCCGAACCTCAGCCCTGCTGCTCAGAGCTGGTGCTCCCAAGTGAGCTCTTAACCAGCTGAGCCACTCGGCCGGCCCTTGATATCCTTTTAAGAATATCAACAGGTATATATTAAATGGTTTGCTATTCATTTGGGGTTTGTTTTCATTTTTCAGTATAATTCTAGGCATTGGGGGACAATTTAAATATATTTTAACTGCTTTATATGGAAATATTTAATTATGAATATAATTTTCTGGGAAACCTTATTTTTAATGCAAAGTTATCTGAAAGATAAAATATTTTATTCAAAAATTTTCTCAATCTTTAGACCACTCAAAAGTCTTATAATTCTGTTACACAAAACTACAGAGGAATATGTATCAATTTTCTTATTTTCTTAGAGGTTTTATATATTTTTAAAAACCTTTCACAAAGAAAAATGCTTTATAAATGCCAAGTACTCTTAAAGTGTAAAGAAATTTTTTGTCTCCACTATCATTTCCAATTTTTTCTAGCAAAGACAAGCTTGTTATTTGAATAAATCCTCCTATAAGAACAGGAAAAACAAAACTTTACCATGAGAATTCATTATTGATTTAAAATTCCCAACAATGATAAAAATGACAATATTTAGTTGACTGGTTAAGCAATGGTGAAGTAATGATAGAAGAGACCTGAGGTCATACAACCACATTAATGATATTAGAAAAGGTCATTCAGCTCTCCAGTGTTACATGCAAACAGTAGTAAAGTTGAGCGTCTCCCAGGACATGCAGTGATGAAGGGAACAGACAGAACATGCAGCAGCAGAAGGAAGAGGTAAGAACAGCTTCCGGCATCAGCTTCAGAGTGTAGAGAAGGTTAGCGTCATAGCTCAGATCAATCTGGTTTTCTGATTTAGCCTTTAAGTCAATCAGACATGAGAAGAATTTTTAAAATGTTTGTTTAAATAAGGAAAAAAGTCTGAACCAAATTAAATAAGTGTATCAAATTAAAAAACAAAAAACCAAAAAAAAAACCAGAAAAAATTTCCAAGGGTATGGAAATTCGTTTGCCTAGGGTGTTTTCTGGTTTAGGCTTCTATTCAACTAACGATTAAGTGTGTTCATTTGACAAGTTCAAGGAACAAGAAAAATCTAATTTTTTTAGAACTTAACACATTGAGGACGGGGTATTTAAATATACAGATACAAATCTGCGTCACTGGTCCATAATGTGTTAAAATGTTATTTAAAAATTTAGCACTTGGCCATTTACCAAATGACCACAGTAATTTACAATACAATTTATTTAAATGGTATCTTTTGCCACTGTGATCTTTTCGGTGCTTTATTAGCAATTGTTTATCACAGGTATAAGCTGACATAGAAACAGAATTTTAGAGTTTGGGACATCATGGAATCTAGTGCTTCTCCAAGAAACGAGAGGTAATGAACTGTTTGAAAAGTTCCACGGGCAAGTTTAATCCTTTTGGTTTGGAACTACTGGGTTGTCAGAAAAGTCATGACGTATATTTTCTATGTTTGTTGTTGCAAAAATGCGTCATGACTTTTCCAACAACCCAATATTATTACTTTTTTTGGTTCCATGCTTTCATTTTCAGATGGAAAAGCTAATGGCTCAGAGAAAATTTGCTCCCTAGGGTGATGCCTAGAAAGGGGCAAAAATGGGCTGTCCCTGACCCCCCACACTCGGGCTGCTGCTCTTTTTGTCACAGAAACTAGAACACATATTCCTCCCACCCAGGTATTTGGCAGATGTGCCCTGAACTACTCACCACAGTGGCATTAGTGGCTGTTTATTTATTTATTTTTGTTTTGTTTTGTTTTTTGTTTTTAGCTGACCCATCCTGCCACCTGTTGGCAGCTAAGTGGCTGCTCAGCTGGGGCCAGGACTGAACCACTGTTGCTCAGAGCTCAAACTCTTGAGCGAACTCTTAACCAACTGAGCCACTCAGCCAGCCCCATTAGTGGCTGTTTAGATCAATACCTTTCAGGAGCTTATGACCTGGAGAGGCCCGAGCTCACAAGGCACAAACAGGTTAGGAGGCAGGATGAAGGGAGACCTGATACTTCCTAGTTGCAATGGGTCTGGTGGCAAAAATAGGGGCAATCTAAGTGGGAAACAGAGTTGAAATCTTGTTTGGGAAGTTTAGGGTGAGCTCCACCCAGGGTGGAGCTATGCACCCCGTTACGTAACTCTGATAACGTTTTCATTCCCTGACTCGACTAGATGTTCAGTAAATACTTGCTGAATGGCTAAACCTCCATGGCCTCCATTTTCCCCTGATAAACCACATCTTCTAATCAAATGACACAGAAACCTGTTATCCCACCGAAGGTAATCCTGCAGTTCTGAGAATATTCTGGGCCAATGACAAAAATCAGAGAACGGAAATGAGGTATGTTCAGTGGCTGCTATGTCTTTGGTTCCACTATTTCTTCTCTGTTCTCTAGACAGAGGCCAAGGGCGTTTGCCAGATGGCTCCTTTACTCACAATTCCACTGCATGCTAGGCAGGTCATTCTGGTGAATATGTAATGGGCTAGAAATTCTCTGTCTTTAAAGGTTAACTTAAAACACTGCTGACAACATGTTCCTTAATCATGGATTCTGGTTTTAAAGCTTTTCCACTGAAACCAAAGGCCGCTGACAGCCAAACCCTAGAAAGCAGCAAAGGCCAAGGCAACACCAGCAAAGCATCAAGGTTCAAAGCAAAGACGGCTTTGTGTTTTTAAAATGCTGACAAAATTTATATCTCCCAGGAAGCATTTTCTGTCTCACAGTCTATGCATTTCTGTCAACACCCCACTGCCCCACACGTTGCTGGAACTTCAGGTCTGAGACTGCCTCGTGACCGCACAGCTCATTCTCAGAGTCTCCTGAATGGCAGCAAAATTTCATCCTTTGAGGGTGGCTTTAACTTGTGGGAAACAGGCATCATTTTAGGCCAGGAGAAGAGCTGTCCAGCTCAGGAATGCCATTTTGGATAAAAAATATGGAATGCTGAATTTCCGTAAAGACAACACAAAGTAAGACTGAAGTCAATTATAAAGCAGATTTTCAAAAATGCTTTAGGCAACAGTGTTGCTGAAGCAGTAATGCCACCTCTCTTTATTCGTCACTCATGCTGCTCTAAGCTCAATACTGTGCTCTGTGCACATGTTGTGATCATACAGCCTAGTAGTTATCCTCCCCCGTATCAGTCACATAAGTTCCATAAGTTCCAGTCACATAAGGAAAAACTTGCTGAAGAAAACTCATCCAAAACACACAGCTATAAATGGCAGAGCCTAGATTCCAACACAGATCTGACTGACACCAGTGTCCACGCTGTTTCCATTTCCCAACTTTGCCCCTCCTAATATGAAGAAAGGCTTCACAGAGCGTCCTTCTAAGGAGACAGCTTATTGCTGGATAACTAAGTCCTGGTGTACTGCTCTCATCACCTGATAATTATCAAGTACAGCACCACCTGTTTTTCTTAGTCTCACTCTTCTCCCTAAATTTTAAACAAAACATTACTCAAATCTCCCTTTAATTCTTAAAGTTTCCCCTCATTAGAACCAATAGTTTCTGCTAACCACTAAGATCCAAAGTTTCAATAGAAGTATTACAACATCACAGCATCGCAGAGCGTCACATACTCAGTGAAGAACTAATCCAGTCGCGTCAACAGGAAAATGCTGTTTCCTCTAGGACTGTGTAACAAAGGGGAAAATGCAGGTCTTAGCGACTTGGTTCAGGAATCCCTGATCCGGGGCTTCCTAACCACATCTGCACGGACACCTTCTCTAACACAGCCCACCTGCCATCCATCTGCACTCAGGTGTTAGAAGCCAGCAGACAACTCTAAGTAAAACTAAACCACTCTTGAAATGAACTACACTTACACCAGAGGTTTATAAATACACACTATTTTTGAGGTTAAAAAATGTTAATACCAAACTGATATTAAAACTTAGAACATACCAACTACAGAACATATATCTAATCAATTTGATAATCTGAGGTAGACTGTTGTGTTAACAACTGCTGAAGGGATTGTTTTACCGTCATCTCAGAAAGGACAGAACTGGCATACACCACCTGGTGATGACCCACTGACACTACAGTCTTGTGAGATAAATATTTAATAAGAAAGAGTCTTTCCTCCCATGGAAATGCTTTTGTCCGTCTAAATTAATGGTCTCCATGTGCTCCAAACCCTGCTTTTCAGGTTACTTTAAAAGAAGAAAGCACTCAGCATAACAAAACCACAATTCATACAGCAAGATGAATCACCAAACCCTGGGGACTTTAAAGAAACACACACACACACACACACACACACACACACACACACACACACACACAAGGAGAGGAAAGTAGAAAAAAATTATCAAATTAAAAAAAAAATGTTTCAAAGCAACATGAAGGAAATGAAGGCAAGTGAGAGGACAGGCCACATTCTTGATAAGAGGGTATAACATGACGGTCCCTTTACCTGATGCTGTTACCAGGAGGCTGTCTGAGGCACCTGCTCTACGGGATGAGGCACTAACAGGGTTTATGGAAGAGCAAAAGGCAATGGTGGCGGGAATGACAAGGGAACGATTTGAACATGCAGGCTGGCTCAGTCCCGGGGTTTCAGCAGGCCAGGCACCCACCTGAGACGTGGCCAGGGCTGACACAGCACAGCCCGCCGGCGCCACAGTTAAATCTATGGATGGTTTTGGTGGCAGTTGAGGGGTGGATGGTTTAGGGAGATTCTCCTCACTTACGACCCTGTTCCCTTGGGGCAAACTGGAAGGAGGCGAAGCCACAGTTTTGTTATCCACTTTGGCCCCTGCACTGGGGGCCCTGCTGCTATCCATAACGACCTTGAGTTGGGGGTGGGGTGGAGAAGGTGCTTGGGACAGCCCTGGCTTTTTTGGAGGGATAGGAGGAGGGTTTCCTCGGTCGACTCTTGCTACACCAGGAGTCTTTACGCTGGTCCGACCAATGGGAGGATAGGTGCCAGCGTCCCCCAAGGGGGGTCCTGCATGCCTTGGGGGTGCTCCTGCTGGAGGGCCTGTGAATCTCGACAGTGCTTGGGTCACAGTATTCCGAGCTAGTTGTTTGGCCACTAGGTTGTCACGACTTGTAGGAGAGACATCTCTGGATGGAGGGCTTTGGGTAGTATTTCCATTTTGGTCTTGGTCGTTAGCATTGCTCTGGAATCTGAATCTAGCTGCTTGGATTCGTGGGTTTAAACCTGGATGCAAAGACACACTGGCACTCGGTGAATGTAAACTGTGCAGAGGTGGAGCTGGTGAGTGGCTCTGGGTCACTGTGCCCGGCGTTTGCACGGCAGGAGGGGCCGTGTTATTGGGAAGGGGTGGGGTGCTATTGGGTAAATCTGCTGTGGAGCCAGTGCTCGGTCCATTTTCCTCAATTCTGGTTGCACTTGGAGGTGGGACGGTGGGCAGAGAGGAGCCAATCAAGTCACCATGGGAAGCCTGCCTGTCAATACCTGGCCTGACCGAGGCAGCACTGGTGCACGCATTCCCTTTTGCATTTGCAGAAACTAGGGGGCTCCCTGTGGAAGGCTTTAAAGGCACGGTCAAAGGCACCTTCTTCACGTGATCAGCGCTTTCTATCACTGGGTCTGTCTGGCAAGCAACAGACCTCACCATAGATGCTTCTGTTCCTACAGATATGGAAACCAAACGCCTATCTTTTGTCTTCCGGGGGAGAGAGAGGCTTGGTTTACTGTCACTTCCCTTTTTCAGCTGCTCGATCGTCTTCTTCATCTTGTCTATCTCCTCTCTGAGGTCAGTAGTGTGTGCTTCTTCTCGGTGCAGCTTGGCACGAAGCTGCTCCCGTTCGGTGTCAAACTCAGAGAGTTGTTTTTCCATCTGAGCTTCCATGTCGGTGCTTCTTCGTTTCTCAGCGGAGAGCTCCTCTTCTAACGCACTCGTCTTTTTCTTCTCCTCGTCCAGTTTGGCCATGACTTCCTCCAGCTTCTGGGCCTCCTCGATGACCCTGCCCGACAGCTGCTTGCACTCCTTGACCAGCATCAGCACCACGTGCTTGTTCTTGCCTCGCTCCTCCTCCAGGCGCGCGGCCAGCTTCTTGTGCTCCTGCTCAAGGGCTTGCAGCTGAAGCTTCTCCATCTCCAGCTGAAAAGAAAGGCACACGACAGCCCTGTTAATACGCAGGGAATTCGCATCACCAAAGGAGTGCGTGCTTCTTGGGCGGTTTTTATGACTTTTCTAACAATTACATGGTTAGGGTTAGCAAAAATGCCATATTTCCAAAATGTGTTGTGATGGGAAAGATGATATTTTAGAATCATTAAAATGAGAAAGTAGATGCAAATGATTTTACAAAAAATATCTAAGTTAAATCAATAGATATTTTTTTTAAAATCTATTAAAGTTAACTATAGAAAAGGAGGACACTGAAATCATGCTTCAAATCAGAGCACAGAGTTCAGAAAGTTCTATTTTTGTAAAAGTAGAGCCTGTAAGGGAACTGATTTTTTTTAAAGTTTAATGCTTTAAAATTACTAACTAATCTTTGAGGTGTAGTAGAATGAAAATTGCCAATGAACAGCAGATTTAAGTTAAATTCTAAGCTCCTATATTTCCTAATTGTATTACTTAGCAGTTTTTTAACTTCAAGCTTCTCATGATGTGTTGCTGTGGAAATCATATAAAATCATATATGCAAGTCCTTTCAAAACTATAAGGAGCTACAGAAATACCTTATAATCAATGTGAACCCAAAGTCTGGTGTCATGCCCTACTTCAGTCTCAGTTGCTCACTTAGCTCCCATGACATTGGCCTCCCTGGAGTTTCCTGAACATTCTTTAACATGGCCCTGCCTTGGGGTCCTTGACCTCGCTGTTCTCTCTGCCTAGAATTCCACCACACACTTTCACATTTGGCTCCTGCCTAAGCAGTAACCAAAAGGAGAAAATGGCTTACTGCCCAGTAGGAGTCAGACGTATTCATTTACTGTGGGTGCTTCTGGCTTTGAAGAAATTGTTGAATAGCACAGTAGTAGGTCCTAGAAATAGGTGATCAGGAATACAGACAATTCCCCAAGAATCATTAAAGACAATTGTTTATACACATACACTCTATGCTACTATATAAAAATTTGGGGGATGGCTTCATAAGTAGATTAGGTGAGATTTGGGGAACAACAGTGCTGTCATATATTATATATATATTTTTTATTCATCTGGATAACTCATGGGAAATTTAACTTATTAATAGTTAAAGCACACTTAACTCTTCCAAATGCATCAAATAATTGATAAGGAAGGCCTACGCAAAGTTAGAGTAAGAAAATTTTAAATATATTTTGTATTAGCATCCTCCCACCCCCCAAATTCTTATAGCAATTTAGGAAAAAGCAGAAACTAGGTCAATTTTCAGCTTATTTTTAAAATATGAGTTTCATAATTTACCTCGGAAGGTGGAAAAAAGATGTCTTGTAGAACTTTAAGGGCTACCTTTATTTTACAAAACAACTAAATAGAAGCCAAGTCAGTGATTTTCCTGATGTTATCTAGTAAATCAGTGTCAGAATCATGACTCTCATTCAGAGTTCCACTTGTGTAGAGCTTTTCTCACCACATCACACATTTTGTCCATGGTATTTCTTCACTATGAGTCACCACTTTACTTTTTAGATGGTAACTTTCATCTTCCACTTCAGAACCAAATTGAAGACAGACTTCCAACAGGAGAAAAACTCACAAATCTCAGATATTGATATAGAAAACTATACTACTATAAAAGCACCCATAATTCTTTGCATCTTTGTCCTTCCTTCACTCGTGCCTTCTATATCCTATCTCAGACTAACATGAGTCTTTTTTTTTTTTTTAAAGATTTTTATTGGGGAATTGGGGGGATGGGAACAGTGCTGGGGAAATGGGGAAAGGGGAACAGACAAGTTGCTGTCGTTTTGTTCTTCAGTCTAGTTGTGGAGGACGTTGCTTCACTGGCCCAAGTTGGCACCATCATTGCGCTCTTCTCTGGCGAGGCAGATCAGTCGCTGGCTTCTGGACGGCCGCTCACTGCGGCTGCTGGCCGCTCACGCTGGCTGCTGGCCACACACGGTAGCCCATGGCAACCCACTGCCACAGGGGCTGCAGCCCACGCCGTCGCCGGCGACTCATGGCAGCCCAGCTCCAGGTTGAGCTGTTGTTCAGCATCTTAGCTGTGGAGGGCAGTGTCACTGGCCCTCATATGTGGGATCCGAACCGGGGCCCTCTGGCATCCCAAGCGAGTTCTTAACCATCGCGCCACTCGGCCGGCCCTAACATGAGTCTTTTAATCTCACCACAGAGAGCAGAGCACAGAGGAAACCATATAATTGATGCACCTACAAACACATGGATTCAAATTCAATTGAACTCTGAGCCCCAATCATCAATCACTCTACCCAACTTTGTTTAGCTTCTTTTACAATCTACTTCGGAGCATATTTAAACCTCTGCCACTCTTCCCAAAACTTCACCCAATGACCACTCAACCGACTCTCAGTCTACCCTAACAGACTCTTTTAACAAGAAAATTCAGACTAACTCACTCCTACATCCTGTCTCCTGCGTTAAGCTTTTTTATAGCCACACCAATCCATATATGTCCTTCCCTTCACTCTAAGGAAGAAAGGTTTCTGTCTGTTGAAGGTCAGACTTTCTTTAGCAATTAATTTCATTTTCTCCTGTCGCCTCTGAGAGTTGCTTCATTACTTATCACATTGCTCTTTATAAATATTAAATATCCCCCTCTCTACCAGTTCCTTCCAACCCATATATAAACATATTCCCATACTTAAAAAATAATTTTTTATATTAAAAAGATATTCCATGCCCATTCTGGCCCAGAGAGAAAGTTTTTGTGCTGGAAAGAGTAAGAGATGTAGTATTAAGTTCTGATTCCAAACTTCTTAGTCATGTGACTTTGGTAAGTTCTCTCTCTAAAGATCAGTTCTGTTTGGTTCCCTTATCTGCACAATAGATCAATAATAATGATTACTCTATAGGATTAAATGAGACAACACATGTAAAGCATGCACCATTGTTCCTGGCACTAAAAAATGTTATGTTTCCAATTTATAATGTAACTATTTGTGCTATTTAAAAAATGTGTCACTTTTGCACAATGGTTTTCCTCTGAAGACATACATTTACAGGGAAACTAGGATCTGGAGGATTGACCATATTAAACATATTGATAGATGTTTTCATAAGTTAGATAGCAGTTATAATTCAACAATTACAAAGTACATCAGAGGAAACTCCACTACAAGTAATGGTGAAATAACTTTTATTAGACTATCTCTCCTGCAGATCATAAACCCTTGAAAGAAAAAAAAATCTGAAAGCTCTGGAGGCAATAAAAGTAGGAGAAAGGAGAAGTATACCTTCCCATTAGAAGGGAGCCAACAGCACTGGATGAGATTTGCCCCTGTATTGCTTTTCAAGCGAGGGCAACACTGTTTTGAGAGCATTGGCAGCAGGCGCTCAAGCACACACTACTCCCTATACTGGCCTGAGGAGTCAGAGGATGGAGCAAAGGCTGCCTCCATGTACCCCACTACCATCTTTGGTTGACTCTTGAATTGCACATTCATGGGGAGACTCCACACTGAATGACAGAGGTAGAGGCTCAGCGGCTGAGGAAACTGATCAAATACATTTAGCTATTACCAGCTGCAAGGAGACAGAGTGTGGGGTATGAGTCTAACAAGTTAATTGCGTACTAGAACGAAATACATTCTTCAGAAGATAACAGAATCTAGAGTCTCTGCACCATATCGTCCATACTGTCTAGTATACAATAAAAAATTATTAGACAGGCAAAGAAATTTATTTTTAAAAGTGATCCACTGTCAAGAGAAATCTGTCAAATAAAACTGGATCCAAGATGATCCATGTTGGAATTAGCAGACAAGAGCCTTAAAACAGCCATTTTCAAAGGAAATACGGTCACAATGGTTGAACAAAAAAGAAATCTTGGCATAGAAATGGAAATTAGAAAAAAAGAATCAAATGGATAATTTAGAACTAAAAAGTGAAAAATGAGTTCACTGAATGAGCTTCATAGCATATCTGAGAGAATAGAATAAAAAGGACAACGAATTTGAAAATAGAGCAAAAGGAAGTATCTAATTTCAGAAACAGAAAAAAAAAAAAAAGAAAGATAGACAAAAGTGAACAGCACCTCAATGACCTGTAGGACAGTACTAAGTGTTCTAAATTCCATGTAAGTGAAGTTCCAAAAAAAGAAGAGAGAGAAAATGGGGAAGAAAAATATATTAAAAGAAAAAATAGCCAAAAATTTTACAAATGTGGTAAACAAACAAACTGAAAAGGAAGCTTATCAATCTCAAAGCAGGATGAATATAAAGAAACCCATACCTGGGCACATCATAGTAAAACTGCTAAAAACAAAGATAAGAAAAAAATCTTGAAAACAGCCAGATGAGGAAAAAAAAATACATTATATACAGAGAAACTATTGTACAATATAAATGATGGCTGAATCAATATCTCTAAAATATGTGAAGCAAAACCAACAGAAATAAAGGGAGAAATAGACAAATATAACAATCTTCTCTCATGCAAAAAAAAAAAAGATTAAAAAATCAGCAAGAATATTGCAGATCTTAATAACACTATGCAAACACCATGGCCTAACTGAAATTATGGAACAGGATACTCCAAGTCTACAGAAGATTCAGTCTTCAGATGCACTTGCTGAGCTATTAAAAACCACCAAGGGCCGGCGAGTGGCACGTTGGTTAAGAGCTGGCTTGGGACGCCAGAGGGCCCCAGTTCGGATCCCACATATGAAGGCGAGTGACACTGCCCTCTACAGCTAAAATGCTGAACAAACAGCTCAACCTGGAGATGGGCTGCAGTGAGTCGCCTGCGATGGCGTAGGCTGCAGCCCCTGCGGCAGTGGGTTGCCATGGGCTACCGTGTGTAACCAGCAACCAGCGTGAGCGGCCGTCCAGAGGCCGGCGACTGATCTGCCTCGCCCGGGGAAGAGCGCAATGATGGTGCCAACTTGGGCCAGTGAAGCAACGTCCTCCACAACTAGACTGAAGAACAAAACGACAGCAACTTGTCCATTCCCCTTCCCCCAATTCCCCAGCGCTGTTTCCATCCCCCAATTCCCCAATTAAAAAAAAACAAACACCAAAAATTACAAAAGACTAAAATCTTACAGAATATGTCCTCTGACCACAGAATTAAATTATATATAAATCACAGTAAGATATTAAGAACACCCCAAAATTCAAAAATAAGACAACATACTTCTAAATAGTACAAAGGTTTAAGAAGAAATCACAAAGGAAATTTGAATATATTTTGAGCTAAATGAAGATAAAAACACAACATACCAAAATCTGTGGCCCTATTGGGTAGGGGTAGGTATGAAGACTCCCAACTCAACCACTACAATTACACAGGAATCACAGCCTCCTCTGTGCACAGGCTGCTGAGTTTCAGTTGACTTTGTTATATTATTATCCCATTTATATCTATCTACTCAAAATCACTTTCAAGTAGTGGCTGAGGGGGAATTTTGCATGGAAGAGCATCACCAAACCAGCTAGCAAAAAGCAATGGATTGTGTCGAAGAACTGAGAAGAAGTAACACAGCTTCACTGAGAAAGTGGGTGGTTGCTCCAAGAATAGCACCCAGACTAGAAGCCATGAATGAAGAGGCACCAAACAGCTGTTTTTACAGAATGAAAGGGAAACTGTAGGTGGGAGCAGAGCAGCAATGTAAAGGCAATTAGTTCTAGTTCGATGAGGAAAGCAATTACGGTCACTTGTTAAATGGGAAATCAAAGTGCATGTTTGTCCCAACCACAGAAGACTCTTAGGACATTTAACTATGTCCATGACTGGCTTCTCTGTATCCTTTTACACCCACAGCATTCTTGTCCTCTTTTCCACCTGGTCCCCCCACCCACCTGCCCAATTCTGGTAAACAAATACCTAACAATAAGATATATTAATAAGATCTTGATTTTTCTTCATAGAGGCTGCAGCTACCAGTCAGCAGTTTGGGCTCTGCAGTTCTCATCTATCCCTTCCTCTTGATCTAGATTCAAGAATGTGAAGGCATGATGTGAATAAGGCAAAGGGCGCTCTGCCCTCTCTCTGCACAGAGCCCCGGATCTCACTCTCCAGCTCCCCCTCAGCACTTGGCAGTCCTCCTACCAGTCAGAATGCATGCTGAAATGGAACAATGAATTACACAAAAGCCCCAGGAATGAGCTAAAAACAATCACTCATGTACAAATATCCTAAATATTCCTCCTAAATACGTTATTTCAGATGATTCTCTAACATGTTATCCTTGAAGGTCTAGAAAGCAACTTAAAATTAAATTATATTTGCAAGTTATAAAGTAACCATTACAGAATGAAGTAAATAGCACTGAATACAAATGGCAGAACAGTACAATATGCTGTAATAGAGACAAAAAGTCATATGAAATAAACAAAACAAGTAATTTGATTGTTCTTTTCTGATGTATGTGTCATTTCTTTGGTTTTCTAGCACCTGAAACTCCTTCGTATGTTAGGAGAATTCTCCACTTCCTGATTCTCCCCTATAGAAGGGAAATATGGTCCGTCTTCCTGTAGCTGGAGAGGGGGCGGGGTCGAAGCTCAGCCAATCAAGTGCACCTGCTCTTAGGCCTCAACCAGCTAATGGGGGATGCAAAGAAACAGGGTCGGCAGCCCTGCTCCAGACCTAGAACAGAGACTGCAGTGTGCTGTCTGCGTCAGCAAGCTGCCCCGGATCCAGCTCCTATGAGCAGAAGCATCACCCGCTACAGACGGCATCTACAGTGAGCATTTGTCGGTGATGCTGCCTGGTAAGAGCTGGTCCCCCAGCCGTCCCAGCCATGCTCTAACATGCCGTAAGCCAACCAATAATTGCCTTTTCCACTTAACTCAACAAATACTGGCTTCAGTTGCTCATAACTAATAATCCTGCCTGATGTATCTATTGCCATGCAACTGACCTCACTATGCTGAGCTGCCTTCTAGAAGAAGCTATAGCCAACACACAGAGCTACTTTTAGTTTTTTCACTGGTTGAAAAAAAAAAATGCTCCCTTCTGAATTTCCTAGTTTTTATCTTGGCTTCTCACTTTTAATGACTTTGCTCAAATTAGAAGATCTTTTCCTATTTCAGGGTTAGAGATTATAGTTTCTAAGTATGAATAAAATGATTGAAAATAAATTAGGCTAGAAATCCTATTAACAGATGATGTACAAGATTACAAGATAAGTAATAGAAACCCAAATATCGCTCCACCCCAGGTTACTGGCTCTAAACTGGGTATAGTTTACCAGAGGCAAAGTTCCCCATGATGATTACTCATTAGCTTATTCAAAGTGGCTTTGAGGGCTCAGTCCATTTGCCAAATTGACTCTCGCCCAAATTTTCCTGGCACACAAACTACCAACAGTTAAACCTCCTATTAGTAGTCTCAGCAGGAACCAACGAATGAATGAGCACAGAGCCTCTTCTCCCGCCTGGAGAGGCCAACCAAAGCAGCATTCAAGCCAAGACATTAGAGTCACCCAAGAGCTGCTTTTCCCAACTTTTGCTCTGGCAGTGACTTAAAGAACTGGATTTGTTGTAGATAATGCATTTTTTTTTTGTCTTACTGATTTTAGATTTCTAAAGCTGCAAGTTATTATATATATATATATATATATATATA